AAAAAAAACCAGAGAAAAAATCAAGGAATAACGGCCTGAAACCAAGCAACCTCCAAAAGAAAACAAACCCTAAAACAAAGAACCCGAACCAACGAGTACCAGGTCCAAAACCAACCAAAAACCCTAATCGCCAAGTTCACCTAAAACCGACCGAACAGCCCCTGACCAGATCCAAACCAGCCTCTGATCAGATCCGAACCAGCCCCTGATTAGATCTGAACCAGCCCCTTAACCGCGGCAGCAAAACAGCAGCAAAAACGATCCTGAACAGCCTTCTTCCTGCGATTGATCCTGTGTAACCGTGTGTTTAACCGAACCAAGGCTCTGATACCACTTGTTAGGAATCAGAGATCAGAGGCGGTCAAGCGGAAGCGAACAAACACACACACACACACACAAATAGCAGAAAATAAGAACACGAGATTTAACGTGGTTCGGTCAGTAAACTACTCCACGGGTTGCAACTAGGGTTTATCTTTTATTAGGTGCTCACAGATTATAGTTACATGATTGGGTATTTATAAGATATAAATTAGGGTTAACAATTTGCTAAACAAGAAACAACTAATGGGCCCTTTAATTAATAACTAAAACCGGCCCCCCATATTTCTTCTCTTTAACCGACCGGGCTTAAAGCCCAAAGCTCTAAAGCCTTCACCGAATAACCCAACATAAAGAGGCTTATAAAAGAATAAATTATGTTCTATTTGGCATATCATTATGAGATTTTGGAGTAGATTTTTTCTCATTCCATCTATAAAAAACACTAGTATACTCTGAAAGTTCTATTTCGAAGCAAAAACAGAATGGGGAAGGGAGGTATGCTTGTCTGTCTTCTCTATCTTAGTCATATGTGAGTGTGAGTGTATTTTTGATCAGGTCTGCCAACTTAACATAGCAAATATAAGGACAAAACCAAAAGCAACCTATGGACCATACATATGGACGAGGATTAGAGTTCCAAATATAAGGTACAGGCTCTACTTTAGGCTGTTTTGTTTATAAGAATTGGGCCAAAAGTATTAATATGCTAAAGTACTATTCTTTTCATTATGAACAAAACCAAAAAAAGACCTACATCTAATATCTAGGAAGATCACAGATTATTTCCTTGGGCCAAATAGAAGGACAAGTCTGGATTAGAGTTACACAAGTGGCCAAATTTAAGGCACAGACCCTACTTTTGGATATTTTGTTCATAAAAATCAGCCCAAAAGTATCAATATGCTTGAATACTGTTCTTGTCATTTTAAACAAAACCAAAAAAGGCTACATCTAACATCTAGGAAAATCAAAGATGAGTTACTTGTGCTAATTTGTTTATTTTGTCTTTGTTTTTACTCCTGTGTCTGAAATGGGGGTCTATTGGAAACCTCTCTACTTCTAATTAAACGTAAAGTCGGACATCATATCCTTCCTAGACCCAACTCTTGTGGGATTTCAATGTGTTTGTTGTTGTTGGTGTATTCATTTACTCTTACCATAAAATCAAGAACTAACTTTATTAAAATTCCAAAACCACATTCCCAATTTCAATAATAGAAGTCCCAAATGGTGGATTTCAAGTCTGCAATTTATGAATTCCCTTTCAAACTTTAAGGGAAGAACAAGAGAAATAGAAGCAGCAGCACACCCACAAGATGTACAGAGACATTAACTCTTATAGAACATAAGAAAATTTCTAAAACAATTGAAATTAAAACAAAAATTCAACTATGAATAGTTAACATCTGCAATAATCCAAATTAATATTCTAAAACATTATTATCGAATTTATACAATTTTGAAAACCTAAACAAAAACTTGAATATCTTTAAGAATAAAATAATTACCTGCTCTAAACTTGTAAGAGGTGTGTTGTCGTTCAAGAAGACCGTGAATCAAAGAAAAACTAAGTGATTCAAAAAGGTGGCACTTGAGAAGAGAGCTTACAAATGAGATGAGAAAGATCAAAATTGTGGAGGAATTGAGGGAATATACTCCGTATTTTACCTGTATTAGGGTAGGCAGGATTGTCGAAATACTCCCCAAAAAATACTCCGTATGACCGTATATTTCAACTTTTAAAACTAATCCCTTTAATAATTTCCCTCCTCAATAGTTTAGATATAGTGGCAATTTTATAAAATTACTACAGCAAGTGTACTATTTTGTGGCAAATTTTAAATTGCCACAAATATTAATAGACTATTTATATATTGTGGCAAATATTTATTTTGCTACTAAAAGTTTGTGCCACAAAAAGTCATATTTTTTGTAATGTTATGAACAAAAACCAAATCTTCAGCACGACTTGGATTTAAACTATTTTTCTTCAATGAGTAAATAAACGAGTATGTACTCTAATTTCGTCCACAACAAACAAGATGAAGATGATGGCTGCCCAAGCATTTTGAATGCTAAAAGCGTTCACTTGGATTGTCCACCCATCATCATCACATATGAAGTACTTTCTTCGCCCCTTTGAACACAGTGCTAGCCATCTCTTCGCCCCTTTGAACACGTGGGGCCGAGAAGTTATGCTCAATGTCTAATTCGTCACACAAGGCATCAAAGCATTCTTGATCGAATTCTCCCCCATGATCATGTTTAGGGTTTAGGGTTTAGGGTTTAGGGTTTAGGGTTTAGGGTTTAGGGTTTAGGGTTTAGGGTTTAGGGTTTAG